TGAGTGCGTACTTGCCTTGGGCCTTGTGAAAGAGTTCGTCCAGGGAAGTTCTGCCACCACACCTATTTCTGCTGCCATGTAAAATGAGAGCATTATTGCGTTCTAGTTTTGGACAGTAGATATGGGTGCTGGCGAAACTACAGGGGTGAAACGTTTCGCTTCCACATTTATATGGCGAATGGCTAAAGAATGAAATTCCCTGCCTGCAGACTTGTTTCCTGAACAGTATAACTTGGGCCTTCTCAAGGCGAGAGTGAATAGGCATTATTTTAAGTGTGCATGCTCCATCGTCGACACTTTACATCAGCAGCTTGATTTTGATTGCCTCTCCCGATCGGAAACTGCGTCTTTTTTGACTCGAGGCGTATAATATTGTGGATGGGTTACTCGATTGGATCGATTCCGGTTTGAATTAAAATCAGGGCTCAGGTGAGGTGGATGTCAAACACGTACTTACTTTTTTGATAAAAAAGATACATCTCCAGCCGTTTTGTACTCTTTTAACACGTACGTAATATAAGATATCCCTTTAGTATTTAGCGAGCTATTAACTACCCAAGGACCATGCTTCAGTATCCTTACCCTAGAGGATACTCCATGCCCAGTTGTGTTACGTTATAACGGTCGATAGATTTGAAAAGGTAACGGCAAAGAGATGATCGCAACAAACATATTTTCTCTGTTGCGGGATGCGGCGGTATTATAGAGAAATTGCGGATGTGATCGCTGCGTGCTTTGTGAGAAACCTGTCAATTATGTTGTCTTCTACTATTAATCGAGACATTCGCAAAGCCAGACCCTTTTTACATGTTCATCAGCGTGAATTCCCATTTAATCAAAAGTTATTTTTCGCAGTATTACACCGAACATTATGGAAACCGGTATCTTGCATATTCTGTTGAAACATGTGAATTACTAAATCATTAATTCAGAAAGCTTTGTTTACTTATTGATGATTAATATTTCAAATCTGGTCTGTAATAACCGTTTTAACAATAATAAATAAATGCAGCTTTACTAGGACCGAATTCACTAACATCGGACATAAACTTTGGAACCACAAAATAAAATACATTAAAGCTATGCCCGCAACTGATATTTTCATTCGATGGACTGTTTGCTGTACGACGTTTCTATTTCCATTCCGTTGCTATTTTAGCGTTTTATTTTTCACATGTTGACACAGACGGGGCCGCATTAAGGACTGTTGGAAAATCTTATAATAAACAAGAATAGGTGGATGGTCAATGACCTATATTCCCACGTCAGTTCCTGTTTACATGTGTGATGGTCCACGTGATAATAATATGCGGTTTCGTCATCGGGCCATTCATACGGGACGGCAGTGCGGCGTGCGTGGCCGCCGGATACGCTCAAGGGCGCGGGCGCGGCGTCGGCGTCGGTGTACGGATCACGCGATAGTTCCACGGGAACCACTCCTGGACCCGCCCCCTTTTCGATAAGATGGTCACATGATATCTGATATCACATGGTATCTTTTTGCGTCAATATTTTACTTGCCTTTTCAGGAGACACGCAGATTTAAGGTTCAAAACTCGTGTATAATTGGTGAATACATATATTAATAAAAATGATTGTGGCATATCCTACAGTATGACCTAACCCAATTTTACGAATTGTGCCTGCGAATAACTTGATTTTAACTTAAAAAATATCGATATAAATTTGTCTTTATGTAGGATACTTATTTTTAATGTATCTTTTAAGATACATCACGCCCTTAAAGTTACAATAAACAGCTTGTTTACTTTTAAATAAAGTGCTTAGGTAATGTAGTATAACTTTATTATCGGAAGCAGATACGTCGCCAACGTTGGCCTAGAGAGAGGTATTTTACACAGTAAAAGTCAACAGGTTAGGTTATCTATAAATTATTCTTGTCACCAGATCAACGTGAATACGTGTGCATAGCATGTAATTGTGAGTTTTAGTTGTATATTTATTGTTCAGGTGTACGTTTGTTAATTTTTGTTTTTTACCTAACCATTACGGCGTAATAGCAAAATATCGCCGAGTTCATGTACTCCGTGGATGACCACCATTAATTTGCAGCTGAGACGCAGATACATTGACTTATTTTTAACCGACTTCAAAAAGGAGAGGAGAGGAGGTTCTCAATTCGACTGTATGTTCTTTTTTTTTCTTCTTTTATTTTGTATGTATGTTACGCGATAACTCCGGTATTTGTGAACCGATTTTCATGATTCTTTTTTTGTTGGAAAGAGGGTACTTCCATAGTGGTCCCATTTCATTTTGAAGGAAATCACCTCTAAGGGTGGCTGTTCACTCATAAAGATTCATTTTTATAAAAAGCGCCTAACTTTAATTTAGGAGCAATTACTTTTAGCAATTATTTAGTTGATTTTGCTATTTCTCCAATTCAAGGCGTATTTCCCTCGATATACTTTGAGTAGTGTCGTAGTGAGAACCTATTTTTATTATCTCCAGTATCAAGTCCTGTATAGTGGCGAACTAGGGGATATTTCAATGAAACTTAGCAAATAGATGTAATTCCACGTACTTTTGAGGTCGGTTTTTTTAGTACTCTGTACTGAGATTATGTTTCGTCATTAATTTCTTTTTTATTTCATTTGATATATGGTATATTAAATAAAACCATTTTAATATTTTGCTCTTTTTAAATGACTATAGAGTTTTCGAAGACCATTTAATTGACCATGATATATAACGCTGCTGATATTATATATAAAATATCTTTCATAAGTAAGCAATTTATAGTTACAATGGTAATAAAATTGTGGCAGATTAGCCTGATTGAGAAACTTTAGGCGTTGCTCTTTTCGTAAATAGTCATTTCTTCACACGACCGACGACTCGGGTATCTATATTTTTTGTATTGTCATATGTCATAATCCACTTCTTATTCCATTCGTTAGGAAACTTCACATGCCTTCGATGAAGCAAATATTAAATTAATAATCAAGCGTGCTCGATAAGATCCAATAGATTCAACCTTGTCGAAATCCCAACAGAGGTCTATCGCAGTTTATTTTTTTAAATTCGACACGTTCAGAACGTGTCGAACGAACTAAAATGGGGAAAATACAATGGAAAATATGGAAATAAATTGTACTCGTGAAAAGAATTTTAGATTCGTAAAATCAAGTGTTTTAAACAAAGGACAACATTATTCCTATGATTACGAAAACGCCCAATGAGAAAAACTATGAACCGAAATATTGTAACGTTACTATAAAAAAAAACGACCTCAAAAGTTCATGGAATTAAGTCTATTTGTCAAGTTTGAAAACGGTTAGCGGAAAGTGCGCGAAACCGGATTCATCCCCTAGTTTGTCACCCTTAGAGGTGGAAGAACATATTCTTCAAATTTAAATGGGACCAGTGCTGAGGTACCCTCTTTCCAACAAAAACGAATCATCAAAATCAGTTTACAAATTCCGGAGTTATCGCGTAACATACACGATATAATACAAAAAATACAGTCGAATTGAGAACCTCCTCCTTTTTTCGCTTTAAATCGGTTAAAAACTATACTGAAAATATCGCATTCAAATTTGACGCATTATGATCTGTATGGCCGCAGAGTCTAGATAACTATATTTTTTCATACAAAACTGATACTTTGGGCCAAAACCACAAAACATGTATTTATACATTGCTTTGCATTGAGTGCTTAGTTTGCGTCACACGTGTGCCAACAATAAGCGAAGTTCTACACACCTAAGCTCAATCCGCTATTTTCGCTTTGTACAGTCAAGAGCACATCAAGCTTGACACTTTGGACTTTGGACCGTTCTTGTTGCAAGCGGCATAGAGTTAAATCTAAATCTTTAGTGTTAAGCTTGACGTGCTTTTGACTCTGTACGTCGTCGTGTCAATCTCGAGCAAATTATGGAAAATCGTAGAAAAATGCGCAGACGCACTTGTGATATTATCTCAATGTATTAAAGTAATAATATATATCTATCATCGTAAAGTTTTATTTAATGTAATTTTCATAATTTCAATTTTCTTTTGTTTTGTTTGTCGTAAAATATTTTTGTTACAATAAACGAAAGTCAACCTTATACCGCTGCAACATGGTCGCTTCGTTTTTGGATAACTGAGAAACATCTCGAATTCGTTGTCTTTTAGCTTTTGATAGCTAGATGGCAACACTTCAATCAATATTGAAATTCCAATATAAAATCCGTTGTAATTTGCATTAATAGGTACCTATTGAACTTTTGACAGCATGCCAATAGAGTAAAGTTTAAGTTATATTATATTAATATAACTTGAAAATTTTATATTATATTAATTAATATCACTATTGTCCAGAATTTGTTATTGCTTTTTAAATTAGAAACTTATCAACATTTCGCATCCCTCATGGAAAAATAGCATAAGTGAAGTTAAGTCAAAAATGTTTATCGCTCGAATGGACACAGAAAATATAATCCACATCCTCTCCAATTCTTGGAGTTACATTCTTGTAACTCTATCGACAATATTAGTCGTTTACATTCTTGTAACTCCATCGATGATATTAGTCGATAGAGTTACAAGAATTGGAGAGGATGTGGGTTATATTATTCCGTATCTAATGGAGTAATAAACATTTTTGACGTGCGATTTCAAAGTATTTGAAATTATGAACGTGTGAGTTTTGGCGACAGCGGTTCTAATAGTAATAGAGCCTTAAAGCACTTCCATTGTTTTTGTTATTCCGTGGCCAAATGCATGTATTTAATACTTTTTAATGTAGGTAGGTGGTAGGTACATCGGGCGTTTAGTGTTTTTCCCATTGTAGTTTGCTGGTCCTTAGAAGATTATTTTACCAGTAAAATAACGGTTGTTTGCTAAATTTCTTTATGCTGTATTGTTAGCAATACCATTGCTTTAATGTCCCGTACTTTAACAAAAGCCACCGAATAGTTCCACTGCTAGAGACGGGTACGGGTTGTCAGCAACTAAGAGACTTTGTTAAAGATAAAAATATATTTCTTTCTTTGCAGCGAGCGCTAAATACAGAAGAGGAGCCCGCACCTCGACCAACCACCACCGCAAAGCCTAAAGAGATCTGCCAAAGACATACTCCCTGCGCCTGGTCTGTCTACAAACCTTTCACCAAAATCATTGAGTACAACATCACTAATACATAGTAAGTACCTATACATATACAGTGTGATATATTTTGTTATGATACTTAGTGACGAGATAAACAAGTCGTGCGCCTGTTGGTAAGCGACACGCCTGTTGCAGTGCCACTCAGAGCTTTTAATCGCAAAGATCTTAGGGGCACTGCCACTGCACCCGACACCTTGAAACATAAATTGATAAGGCACATGTGCCTCTAATTTCACCAGCAGCCTTACCTTTGAACGGTTTCAAAACGTACTAATTTTTATTACTTCCCTAGACGAACTCTTTCACGAGAAGCTCAACTGCTACAAAACATTGATAGATATCGTTGGATATTGCCCAAAACATAATTTTCAACCAAAGCAGGTTGTCTATTTGTAGTGTTAACCTCAGTGTTAGTACGAGATGGTATTAAACACAATTTGTCTACCGAAGTAGCTTGTTTCTAGTAGGCACAGAGAGTTAGTGTGAAAGGTACAAAACGGTGAAAATAATACAACTTTAATACATGCCTAAACAGCTACTTGCGTATTTAGGTGTTAAACATAATAGTGGTAAATCAACGAGTTATCTATTATTGATACAAAGATCGAATAATAAAAAGAAAAATTCCGTTGACCTGACTGACTCGAACCAGCATCTGTTGCCATACCGGGACCACCACTCTTACCACTTGAGCTACAGACAATGCGTTTTTCGATCATGCGTAATAACAAACTGATGAAGTATTTTCAGAAAAGATATATGAATATCGTGGTATTAAAAATCATAACATTCAATAAAATAAATATTCGAGTTATGTTTTCACCTCGGCGCCTAATTATCATGTTATTAACCGACTTAAAAAAAGGAAGAGGTCATAACGACTACAACTGCAGGCAATACGACTGTTTTTTTGTGTGTTTGTTACGCGATTACTCCGACCTCTGACAATTTGTGAACCATTTCATTGAACCATTTTTGTTGGCAAGTACTGAGGTACCGACCTCAGTACTGGTTCGTTCAGATTTCAAGAAAATATTTCACAAATTAGTGGTAAATTAGGTGATGAAACCGGTTTATTGTATTTCACCCACTTTCCGTTAACCTCCAGTTTAGTAGCAGTAGAGTTTCTTGTGTTAGAGTTCGTCCAGGGAAGTACTGCCACCTTACCTATTTCTGCCGCCAAGTAGTAATGTTAGCATTACTGTGTTCCGGTTTGGAAGAGTAAGGGTGCTGGTGAAATTACAGGCACGTGAGACTTGTCAACTTACGTCTCAGGTTGATGGGTGCAGTGGCAGTGCCCCTCAAATCTTTGCGATTTAGCTTTGAGTGGCACTGCAGCTGTTATGGACAGGCGTGTAGCTTACCATCAGGTGCACAGTTTGTTGGTCCCGTCTCTTGATATTATATAAAAAAAACCGATTTCAATAAAACTTGGCAAATAGAAAATTTCACAAACCTGTGAGTTCAGTTTTTTATAAAAAAGTACCTAATAGCTATAATGTAATATGTAACAAGTGTTTACATTATTTACAAGTATTCTGTAATAACCTATGTTTTTAAAACTTGAAATATTATGAAATATTAGACGCGACCGCATTATCAATATATATTTTAGACTTTAACCTTAGTTCCTAGGAAGTCATCTCTAATTAACTTTTGCATACACTGATCACAAACTGAATGAAATCATTATAATAATTAGATAGTTTAATCAATAATTACTGAACAATAATTACTAATTAAGTATACACTTCTTTTGTTTGCGTTGGTTAAAAAGTATATAAGGTCTTATCTTTGAATGACGCACACAAAAAAAGAATAAATTAATTATTTTATCGTACAAAAACACTGGTGACGATAAGAATTATGTATAATTTAATTATCTAAAATTAAGTATGTAATGTTAATTTTGAGATGACGTTATGTTGTGCAGCTTTGATAAGAAAGTAGAACGGTGAAGAATTAAGTTGGTACCTACCTGATAACTGAGGTTAATTATAATTTACGAAACGGTATTTACCGATTGTTTATACTATAAGTGCAGAGAACGAGAGAGAATGAAATTTTAACTACCGAAGAGATTTTGCCGAGAAAATACTTATGCAACTTATTGGGAATGAATTTTTTTTTCGAATCTAAATCATGTCTTTTTCAAGCAGTGTTGGGTCATGGAAAAATTACCATTTTCAAAAAAATAGATTTTTCAGAAAAACAAGCACTTTTCTGAATATTTTACTCATTGACAGTGACAACTGTCAGAAGTTGAATATACTGAACTGTATTAGGAGAATTTGTGAACATAGCAGTAATACCTAAAGCAAGGTTTAGAATATTACATTTAGCACTGTTTATACAATTTCATTTTATAATTCATGTTGAACAAACTTTAAAATAAATAAATCTAACATAACATGAATCATCGAATTGTATATTTCCAATTTTTCAGAATTCTGAAAAATTTCCAATATTTGAATTTTTTTTCGAAAATTTCCCAACACTAATCTTAAGTTAGTGGTGACCAGAGATGGAAAGTAGTTTAAACCCCAATCAACCCACCCGGGTTTTTACCCAAAAGATTTTATTGACCCATTTTTGACCAAAATCGTAGGCAGAAATGGCGATTACGGAATGTAATGTAATTCCATGAAAACAATGCCGATGTAAGAAATCTTTTTTAACGCCCTTTTTTCGAGGCAAGTCCACACAATACTCACCTTGCAATCCTGTGGATTCTCACTATTAAGGATGCACATTACGATTCGATTTTCATGAAAATTGATTCAAGGTTCAAACGATTTTTGGTATCGATTTATTTCAATGCAACTTTCAATCGAATCGATTCAATAAAAAGTATCGTCTAGATCAGGAAGCAATAAACTTTTGTAATGCTATCATTCAATGTGAACAAAACTCGATTTACGATACATATTTAGTTGTAAATCGTTTTTGCCCTCGATTTTGTGCGTTAATGAAAAATGGTTAAAACGCGGGCGCTTGCCCATTTTTCTGGTCGTCACCACGGAACCTGTAAGAAATAGTTCAAAATGTTAGTTTATTTGAAAAAATAAAATATACGCGATTTAAATCCGGAAAAAAGAAGGAAAATAGTTACATTTCCAGTATGTAACCATCGCGAAAACCTAAGAACCTCTTTTACATTTATTTCAATTTTTGTTACAGCTGCGAGTGTAGTCCGGACAGAGCGTGTCAGATAGAAGAAGATGACACTTCAGTCAATTCCTACATCCTCCGCTGCTTGCCCCTGGAGCAGCAGGAGACATCTGAAAGCTAAGACTCGCCCCTACGGCGCACATGCCCCACCGACGCAGCTTTTTCACGCAGCGATACTTAGTAGGAAATAAGTGAAATAATGGACAGAGCCTAGCCTTAAGATACACGAGTACATATAAATGACACAACGCGTAACGGTGATCGATTTTTAACGGTTCGTTACGTGTACAGAATGGTAGTAAAACCTAAAGTAGAATTTGAAGTAGTTCTATAAATCATAATATACAACATAACCTTTTGTAAATTTGTATGGAAAAGCGAAATTTATTTGTTTACATTTCCAACTAAAGTTGTGTCGGAATAATACAATCTCCGGTAATAACACTTTGTCCGGATATACAGACTCTCTACGTACTAAAGATGTCACAAAATTATAAGGTATGATTCGAAATTTGATATAAGACAAGACAGTATGGTAACTCTGCTGCGCACAAACGTAGCAGCGCGGCTTATATGAATACATACAAGCCGCGCTGCTACGTTTGTGCACCCGTCTCACGCCGTATCCGGATGCACACATTCGCATAATAATGAAAGGCACGTATGACGACCGCCCCCGTAGTATGCCGCCTAGATAAACTTATTATAACCACATTTAACTCTCAAATTCGAGTGATTTTAAAATTTTATCACAATAGTTAACATGGCGAGCACGTCACATTTGTATGTCATCGCGAGCGTCGCGACCAATGATTGCAAAAAATTAACACAGTGCCAAACATGGCTACGAGGTCGCAGCTGATTTTTAAACATTTTTACAGTTCTGCACAGTAATTTTATCAAGGAAAAAATTGAGCGCTACAAACGAGATGAAAATAAATCATGAAAACAAACAAATTGATTTATATTATTAATTATTGGAAAAAGGTGAGGAGAAAATTTTTAATTTATCCTTGTTCTTCAAAATGTATACAACAATACAATAGTTCATTACCAAATAAGTAAACTTAGCTTTATCAACTGAAATAAATATATTGTCACCGGGAGGTTTATCACACATATACCTACTGCCATGCTACGGCCACTGCGCTTTGCAATGCGAGTACATAGCGAGATTATGCGAATGTACGCGTCCGTGCACGACACGCTGTTTGTACGGAGTTCCATGCTTGTCTTATTAATCTTATTATACTATGATATTACTATGGACTGTTCATATAATAAGATACATACAGCGCTATGCATCGTTTGTAGGTTTTTAGTTTTATTATGAGTGTTAAAGATGTCTGCACGAATTTAAACACAACATATTTACTAGGTACATCTTTTAAAATTGATTTACATACAGGGCTGATATATTGTATGAGATTGATTAAAAATATTTACTAATTTTAGGTATGTAGTAATTAATATGATTATACGGTCTGACTTTTAAATTTTTAATTATATCGTATATTTTACTGGATCATAAATAACTTAGTAGTGACAAATATTTTTATAAATGTTTTTTATTCAAAGGTAAAACATTGACTAGAAAATTCTTACAGACAAACAAATGCAGAATTATTATAATTATTGTAGCCGATTAAATCTTTTTAAATTACTTTAATTTATTAAAAATAAAGAGTTTTATATCATAGTGATTCGTTGTCGCCATTGATTGATAACTTCGACAGTTACTCATTTTTACCCATATTTATTTGTATAAAGATCTTATTGAAAATATCACCGTAGCTTAGATTACAAAAATGCGTAATTTTACTAATTATAACGTTAATTACAAACAAGATGTGTTATAAATAAGAAAAACCACGCATTTCAAAATAACATGTAGGTAAATCATAATATAATGTATTTACTCTGCGCCTGCATTGCATACTATTTCAAATACTTTCACTATTATTTTTTTAATTCATATTAAAAGATATAACTGATTAGTTAGGTATCTTTAAACAACAAAGTACGTACTTATGAAATGTATTTTAGTTTATTTATAGGTTTATAAAATTCGCTGCATTGAAATAAGCGCATCATATCGAAGTTCCTATTTTTATAATTTATACGTTTTGGTTTTGTAAGATTTTTGTAATAGTACATTTTCATGACATGCTTATTAATAAATGTAGGTATTATTAGTATGATTTTAGATTACGTTTCTTATAGTTCAATTTCTAAAAATAATTTGACGAATTTAAAAAATTACTGTCCTTTTAAACTAGCGTACTAGAATTAAAAGTGGCGACAATAATTTTTAGATTAATTAAATTATTTTAGATTTTACCTTATGAAACATAAATGACCCTTATGGACGAGATATAAGTTGGTATAATTGATTTAATAAATGATTTTTATGTAACATTGTACTTGCTTTTTTATGTTTTATACATATATATTATATAATAAATTAATATAATATTGTAGGTAAGTATATGGATTTTATATTAGATTCATAGCGTAGAATCGCATCATAGGAAAAGGAAGGAAATACGCAATTACAATTATAAATCGTGAAATTCATTCAAGAACATTGGACCAGAGGCATAATGACCTCATACATATGGCATATTCAAAAAATGTCTATCGTACCTCTCTTCTCACTAATTGTCATGTTTAGTGATGAAAGAGATTGTTTTTTCAGGCTTATTAAAAAGATTCGATTCCATTTTACGGGAATCGATTCTAAAAAAGACTAGCTTGGAGTTTTTAATAATAAGACAAGACTCAGTCGTTATACTAACAGACTCGACGACTCGAGTTGTTTATAAAGGCGTCAGGCTTATGGCGGTCATATACGTTACGGTTTACCAGAGAGGTCTACTTGTGCAGGTGCACTAAACTGCACAGGTGTGTTGCAACACACGTTTCGATTTACCTGCGCCGATACACCTCCTCTCTCCGGTAGACCGTAACGTGCATGGCCGCCATAAGTCGTGCATGATATTCAAAAAACAGCTTAAGTTCTTAAGGCGGCTTTCCACGACCTGCTTTTCAAAGGCACTACGAGGAGCTCGCGTCACTAGCCAGTCCGGGCGGCCTCCGGCCGACGCGGTTGGTGTCGCGTATTTGAATCAACCACGGGCAAGTATGGGACATGGGCGCGCTCGGCCCTCTTTCCACGGCGTGTTGGCATGAACTCGCGCGGCGCAGCCCGTGGAGAAACGGGCCGTGTGAAGTCGCATTTAGGTAATATGCAATGGAGTTACATTTTTGACGTCTTGTTAAGCCCGAAACTTATAAATAAAAATGAAATAATTGTCTCCGTGACTGAACGGTTACTATGCTGGACTGTCACGGAGAGGTCCCGGGTCCCTAATGCGGGGCTATGAGTGTGTGTCTTATATGTTATTATTATTAAATAATATGTAGTATATATATATATATTTATTTATAATAAAGCTATTATATTTTGAAACTTTTGATGTATGCAAACATTTAATTAGTATGGTTGTAGAAATATGTGAATGATAGTATACAAGAACATGTCGTAGCTTATATCCTGGCAAAGTTTGTTTCCGTGTCAAACTGGATAAAAGTAAATACCCTGATCAGCGGTTTCACAGCGGTTTTACTTTATCTTTATTTAGTATATCCCTTTACTATTATTTACTATATTTTTCCCTCGGTTACTGTCATATAAAACCTTTATTAAATAAACTTAGAAACGTAAACATGAAATGAACGAAATATCAACGGAGGCCAAGCAAACGCCTCCACGCTCTCCGAATGACGACCTAGTGCGGTACAAGGATGAAATTAAATTAGAGATTATTCGAATAAAGTGCCATGTCAACTCTATGAAAATGTCATTTGGATTGATTGCTGCATTTCCGCTAGGTACAGACGGCCACACAAATATGAAGAAAAATACATTTACATAAAATAACGTCATGATTTCTCACAACGCGCTTTTTGTACCTACTGTTTGTGATATATTGCAATATTAGCCAATCAACAAAGCGTGGTAAATTTGTTTATGTTATTAATACAGCCAATTCACCAGTTATGTTTAATTAACGTAATGTCCATGACCTCCATGTGACTTTGTTCACAAAGATATTAAGAATAGTCGCAATTGGGATTTACCTGTTAGTAGGTATATATAGTAGTAGGTACATAAGCCATTGTTGCCCAAAGTGCGCAGTAAGCGCAATGATCATACAGAACAATAAATACAGTATATATAGGCAGAAGTGGCTAGTCAGACGCGTGCCAACTATAGGTCTCGAAAGACCTATCTGAGCTCAGTCCGCATTTTCGCTTTATATGGTATGGTTGTGGCATGTATTCGTGCAAATTATCTAAAATCCTAGAAAAATGCCTTATGCTGTTTTGGAGTGCAAAAACGATGGCCGCACCAAAAATATTACCCGTGCTCACACCCCGGACACTCCATACAACAGTCGAAAATTATTTATCTACTACTACTATATACAGCAAGGCGTTATCTGCATAGTCAAGTGGCAGGGTTACTCATCACTTTCTTGCACTCTTACGTTACGTGATCAGAGCGGCAACATAGCGAAAATGTTAACGCGAATCTATTATCTATGATTCTATTAATATAATCCAGAATCCTAATAATTACACATGTCTATTTATATCGATATATAATACTATTTTTCATTAATTGATTAACTAGAGTAATATTGAAGATTTATTTAAAAAAATATATTAAAAGCACATAAAATGTTATATTTTGGATTTGTACGTACCTTTAAATAAGGTAACCAAGGTATTTGAAATTGCGTGTCCAAGTTGATCATCATTAATTAGGTATATTCGCTACTTACGTAATATTGATCGGCAAAATGAATTGAAAATTCGAGAACCCTTGTCTACTAGCTCACGAAGTCATGGCGCCTCATTATATTGATATAATAAATCTGTACTTTTTATACATACATATAATTACTCTGCAGTAAACTGAATGAGTCTCAGGCATAAGTTTTTTTACTTACATCTTTCCATCTTTCGGAAAATGATGATAAACAACCGTACACAGCACAATTCACGACCATTATAAATAGTAACGTAAAATGATGTTTTATATTAACGTACAAGTTTCGTAATGAATAAATGAAAACTTTATTCAAATATCAAGCCGTCTTCGCACGAAAACGGCTCGCCCCGGCAGCCTTGTTGTCGTTCAGTCAATGTGACCGGTAATTTGCGGGGCGTGGTGTGGTATCTATAGCTAGGGAGGGGCGGAGAGTGTCCGTTCTCCTTACTTTTTGTTCTCTGCCGTGGTGGTATTTCATATAATTGGAAAGTATTATTTTAATAAATTTTCAATATTCTGTTTATAATCTTTTTGACAGAGACACACAGACGCGGTATTGATAATATGTAGTGATCTAGTGATTTCAGCCAACTTACACAAAACCTACATAAATTATACCTACACGTAAACCTTCCTAATTAATCACTCTGTCTATTGGTGGAAACCGCATGAAATTACGTTCAGTAGTTTTTGAGTTTATC